ATTCAACATACATATTAACGATATGGAGGAAAATGTTTCTGAACAGGCATGTGTCAACACAATCAAATATGCGGACGATTGCACCATGGATACGTCCATAAGATTAGGAGAATCTAGCGATTTGCAAAGCGCTCTGGACTCAGTACAAAGTTGGGCTGTGGAAAATAAAATGGAACTGAATGCCAAAAAGACAAAAGATATGTGGATTAACTTCACCGAAGCACCGCCCCCTCTACTACTGCATATAGGAGATGCTATCATAGAAAGAGTCGATAATTTTAAACTCTTGGGAACCTGGTTTCAAAAGGACCTGAAATGGAATAAACATGTCGAGGAGACCACCCGCAAAGCAGCTAAAAACCTGTACTGCCTACGAGAATGTAGAAGAGCGAATCTACCAGTCGAAGTGGGTCTCACCACTTATTTAACTAAAATCAGGCCTATCCTTGAATATTGTTCTCCAGTGTGGGGTGGTCTGCCACGATATCTAAAGGACGAATTGGAACGTGTGCAAAGGAGGAGTCTACGAATTATTGGCCTCCCGCATGGTTACCTGCCAACTCTCGAAGAGAGAAGAATTGAAGCCACATCGAGGGAACTCGTTAACATCTTAGGTGATCCAAGTCATATCTTTTATCAACGAACTATGGAACATAATAAACATAACTATAATCTTAGGCGTAGAGACGGTATATTTAAATACGCACCTTTCTCAGGCACTGAACGACACAGAAATAGTTTTGTCCCACGAGCAATCAGACAGGGGTTGCACTAAAACCAAACTTGGTTTTTATTAACTTTTTAAATAATTTCCTAGACTTTTAAATTTTTTACTCCAAATTGTATATATATAAATTTTAGATAGTTTGTAAATATTATTGCATGCTTAGTTATGCTCTTCTCTTTTAATAGACATATTTGTAAATCCATTGCATTTTTAAACTAAAGATGGATCAATAAAATCATCATCATCATCATCATCATCATAACCACAGACACATCCCAGATCTGTTTATAACGTGGTCAGTGCTGGTCTATTTACAAATACTCCTTGCATATATCTGGTTACCAGTGGATGGTTTCCAAATGTGAAATTGTCTATTGGTTGGACAACGCTGGATAGAGCTGAGCGTACCGTGTTTAATGTGCTATAGGATAATC